ATAACAAATACAGCTAAAGTTACACAATGATAGGTTTAGGGTTAGGGCCAGAGTTAGGGTTAGGGTTAGGGTTGGGGTTAGGGTAAGTAAAAAAACCTAAGTTAAAAAAATTACACAATCCAGTAAAACACTTACAAGTCCAGCAAACGAGTGATCGGCTTCAAATAAAGTTGCTCCTTCGCTCTACCTGGCAGAGTCCAAGCTGCGGTGCCTTCAAGTCTTCTCCTCCATTGCATCTGTTAATGACTGATAAGCATAGGAGGCACAATGAATGGAATGACAAGAACAAGCTGGAATAACACAATCAAAAGCTGTGTCGGTCTCATTTACCTGTTTACCGCTACGTACCCACCACAGGACAACTCTTGTCTCTTGTTTACACAGCTGAAAACGCTGCACCGTAGCACTAAACTCAAGCTAGCATGTTTACTTACCGACAAAAAAGTTTACCTAACGCACTAGTGTGGATAAAATGACTAAAAACCACACAATCGCGCTGTGACTTCATACACACTCGACGACGACTAAATGTTTGTTTGATAAACGAGATCAATTGTTCCGGTTCAATTTAAATGACCTCTTGCTACGCATGCGCAAACTATCGAGAGGAAATGACGTAAATTTAAAGGTCCCGTAGTGTAGATTATCGTTAATGCTGAAATTTTAGATGTGCGCGGAAAGAAATAAAATAGATAATTGACGACATTACCTAAACAACATAACATAAAACTGGTCATTATGTAGTTTAAACGTAAAAAGTTTGTGTCAAGTTATCTTTCCCCTCATAACATCCACACACGCTCGACAACGACCAAATGTTTGTTTGAAAAACAAGAGTGCTCCTTTCCGTTATAATTTAAAAGCACTTGCCTAAATCGTGCTGCCAGGTGAATATTTTGTGTTTAAAAGTCCAAAAAGTATTTTATATGAATATTTCAAAAATCACCCAAAACATGCCTTACTATAGCCTTACCATCGTGAAAATATCCATAAAAATAAAAAGTCCCCAAAATGCAAACGTCTTAACAAATTCAAATTACTCACAAAACTACTCACTAACAGTAACATGAGTAAATGTAATTCGTACACAACAGTAACATGAGTAAATGTAATTCGTTCTTTTCCACATTTGACCTTTCCTCAATTTCTTTCTTGTTGCGGATGCACCAGCTATGCATCAAACTCAAATAAAAGTAAATAATAAAATTTCAAAATGGATAGAAATTACACCTGATTATTAGGAATTATTTTTAATGTGATCTACAAAAACAGAAAATGACAGCTGTGTAAGACTATTGTCATCACACCCATTATCGGGGGTGGCCTACCACATGATTGATGATTTTTACTGTGAGGTTGACAGGACGCACAAGCACTTTTGTTATTTTTTTGTACATTATAAAACAGTAACAGCTCCATCTTTTTGATACAACAGACAGAAACCCATGCAATTCTCTCACCTCTGTATTATTTATAATATTAGGGTTTGGGCAGAGATCTTCAGCTGCCTGTTCATTCAGTCTCAATAATTTTTACATAAACAATGCAGAGAAAAAAAGATGGAGGAAAAAAACAAGAGAGAAAAAAAGATGTCAGTGTTTGCTTTTTTTCGATTTTTTGTGAGACCGGTGAGGAGATCTGGATTTGGAGCGAGACTTCTTAGCAGGTTTCTTGGGCGTCCTTGAACGCGACCGCCTTGAGCGCTTGGGTGTCCGAGGTAAAGATGGAGATCTGGAACCACAGATACTTAGTTTAAAGTTTTACATGACCAATCTGTGTTTTTGTGTTAGCTCCAGTCGACACATTTTCTCACCTCTTAGAAGATTTCTTGTTGCTGGACCGAGGCGAGTCTTTGTGAGAAGAGCGTGAAGATGTGTCTTTCGAAAACGACCGCTCAGAACGTTCTGATCTTTCTGACCGAGGTGAGGAAGAGCGCCCCCGTCTGCTGCTCCGTGATGGGCTTGGTGACCCACTGTGACGACGCTTCCTATCAACCGGAGGGGACAAATGTCTGTCAGGTGGAAAATTGAACAAGGCCAATGTTTATGAAAGACAACAATGATATAGCAGACATCAAACTTGACATTCTCCTGCACTTTAACTGTCTCACCTGTCTTTCCTGGTCGGTGTGTCTTCTTTCTCTTTTTCTTTCTTCAACTCTTTCAGTCTTGCTTCAGCTTTTTCCTTTTCTTTCTTTTCCTTCTCTTTTTCCCGTTCAAGTTTTTCTTTTTCTTTTTCCTTCAGTGGATGACACAAATTATAAAACGATATTCTTGTTTTTTTGCATCATCTGAGGTAAAAACTGCAGAAATTATTATTTTTTTTACCTTTTGTAATAGTTTATCCCTGTAATGCTCCACCTGTTCCTGGATGCTCTGACCAGGCTTCTTCAGCCTCTTGCCCGACTCCAGCTCATCTTGGAACTTCATGACCTTAACCTTGGTTAATAAAAAAAATCAAACAACATATTAACTAAAAAACAAAGAAATATTCTTTTACTTGAAGCACAAGGACTCTGGTAGATAATCACCTCGATCTCTCTGAGTTTGGTGCGTTTCTCCTCATTCCTTTCCAACATCTTGACAGGGTTAGAGAAACTCTGATCATCGGAGCGAGGGCTCCTGTCGTCGTCATCGCTGTAACTGTCCATTCTTCAGAGATAAAAAACAGTGTGTAGAAAGGTGAGGAGTGTACCAGGATATTGGCAGCATAAGTAAAAAAACAAATATTTTTTCACACAAACTACTCACTTTTTTGTTCCTTCTGATTGTTCAAATGCTTCCCATTTTGAGGTTGTTACAGCTGTGAGCAAAAAAAAAAAAAAATCAGAAGAACAAACACCGTCACACTGTGGATACTCACACGTTTACTTTTGCAATAGTACTTTTATATAAACAAAGTGTATTTATTTAAAGCCCTTTAATTTAAAAAGGGTGAGACTTAAAAGTGTTACAGAGAATCGACAAATTGTATTTTAAATAACAATCAAAACAAGGTGGGGTTAATTTTGACCCGAGAGGAGTAAAGGTGTTTGCATTAGCGATATTATGAGGGTTGACTAAAAAACCCACATGAAACCAATAAAACCTATGAATGCTACAATCAGGGTGTACCTAATGAAGTAGCAAATAATATTCAGAACCTCAAAGTTGTTACCTTGTGCCTGTAACTCAGCCTCATCTACTGCTTCCCATTTTGAAGGTGCCACCTTGAATGTTGCTTCCTTTGACTGATCAACTGCAAAACCATGAGAATGTCAAGAATCTTGGTCTCTACATAAGACTTAAACTAACAATTAAATATGGTGTGCAGCACTCACATGGTATCCCATCGAGGTCATCGTCTATGTGTTTGATTGGAACACCGTCCAGGTCATCCAGAAGGGCTCCATCAATGGGAGCCCCATCAATCTGTCCTCCTTCGATGGGTACTCCATCCACATCCTCCAGTGGATGTCCATCCACAAAGTCTCCAATCGGAGCTCCGTCGATGTCTTCCACTATCTCAGGCTGAGCACAAGCACAAAAGTGAGAAAGGTTACACCAGGACCAGACAAAGCTAGTTTTGTTTTTGTGTCATGAGGGTTGCACCTCTGGAATTAAGGGTGGCTGTTCCTTCTCCACAGTGAGATTGACCAGACCCAAGAAGATGTTCTGCAGCTTGATAAGGAACGGGTCAGGATACACAGCCCAGTCCTCCCAGGCTCGGAAACAGGACATCACTCGTTGCTGCCAAAACAAAGGATAAACAAAAGAGGAAGCCTGAGTGACTGGATATCAGAATCGGTGTAAATTATTTTCTGTAACATAAGGAGGTAAATATTTGGTACCTTAAAGTTCTCAGACTGAAGATGACCCTGTATTGTTTTGTATGTTGAATTAAGGTCAGAGAAAATTTGGCAGAGTTTTGCCTCAAAACTGTGGAGAACAGAAAGCAAACAGTAACAAATCTATCCCAGTGTACAATATTATGGAAATACTTCCAAAAATGATCAGATCATACACTCACTATTTCCTGTAGTAAGATGCGTTGGCTACTTTAGCTGAAGAATTATATAACACGTCAGAAACCAGATATAACCGTGCAATCTGCAACAGTAAAGGAATATTAGAACACTGACAAAACACTAAAGATATTGAGGTAATGAAATTCACTAGTGAAATTATTGGCAGTATTCACTGCTGGGTTTGTGTGTGTGAGGACTTGCTTTCTTAGGCAGAGGGGTCTTCAGGATGGAGAGAGACTCAGCGACACACTCAACAATCTCCTCGGCAGCTTCAGCATGGTTGAGACAAAACAGCATGGCCTCGGCGATGTCTCCTCTCCTGGGAGTCAAACCACGGAGCATTTCCTCCAGTTTGTCCCGTTCGCTGCAGAGATGATGAGAAATTCAACATGAAGACCTGCATCACAAGGCAGATGGAATCATCTGCCAAATGTCTGTTTTTTTATTCTGTCCATTATCAAAACTCATTTTCCAGTTTTGATGTCAGATGCTCAAAATAGAGGCTCAAAGGCTTTATGCAAGGATTAGATCAGTTTGAATGAGGCTCAGATTTTGGGTATTGAGGTAGTTAATCATGTACTGATGTTTTGTTTTTAGCAAGAACATTTCTGTGTAGAACTATTCAACATAAAGGTGGCTGTAGAGTATAAATGTACTTTCACATATAGACAAATACTTTTACTGCCAAAAAAAGATAAATAAAATGTTTACTCTTCTTTCAAACAGCCTTTTTTGTTAGCTTCTTCTTCTTCCTCTTCCTCTTCCCCATCATCATATGGACCGTGTAGGTAAGGATTAAGAGGTGGCGGACGCCAAAGAGAACCATTTTTAAACATTCTGAAGTCGTCTGTTCGCCATTTTGCTGGGGCTTCACCCTGAGAACATGACCATTCATAGTAAATACCAAAACATGAAGAACATCGGACATTTTACTCAACTCGTGCTCGTCATGCTGATGTCATACCTGTAGTATGGAGTAGAGCTTCCACCTGTAGTATACATGTGCCGGGCTCTGGTTCTCAAAAAGGAATCTGGAAAGGCAAAAAAAAAAAAAGAAAAAAAAAAAAGAGTCAAACCCATTTTACTCAAGAAGAAAGTGTCATGTAATGCCTCAAACATCAATCATCAGTTCTATTGATTGAAGGCCTTCTCTACCTGTACATGGGATTGTTAATCTCTCTGTTCATGATCATGGCTTCAAACATTGGGCCTTCACGCACCACAAACTCGATCATTCGGTGGATGAGAGAGAGCAAATTCCTACAAGAAAAACACAGTTAAAGCAAACAGATTCAGACTGGCCTGACTTGTGAGTACTATAAAAACAAAACTGTCTCTCATTATATTTTAATTTGTGTTTGGTAAAATGACACTCAAAGGCGTGGTTCACACCCTCAGGGTTGCAGCAAGATAAATTAGTTTCAAATTAATTTCTTAAATTGTACTACAGTGGGGTATTACGTGTTAAGTGTAAATTTGAGATATTTGTGACTGTGTTGTGATTTGTGTCGATTCGATCACTGGCATAAAGCCTGTTTTTCACAGCAAGGTAGAAAAAAAAAGCATCCATCCTTTATTTTCGAGTCCAAGTCAAAGTCCACATCGCTTAAGAGAAATTCATGTCAACTCTGCAACTGTGTCTAAATTAATGAAACAAATATTTATATAATTTACTAATCTGATACTGTACTATACAGATGAAGCAGACCATTTGAATATGTGTACAAGTGTCAGAGTGCCATGCAACCAAGCATAAATCATTTACGTGGAACACCAAGTCTTAAAAAAAAATCACAACTGATAAAATGAACTAGAAGTTCAGAGATTACTGTGTATCAAATCAGGTCACAGCAGATCTTAACTATGTAGAAATTAAACTGTTGATGTCAGAGTTTGTTTTGAAGACTCTACTACGCCTGAATTCTTCTTTTGTAATCATCTGATTCATTTTTTTCAATATCAGTTTCCCAAATTAAACTAGAGAAGTTGGTGTTAAGACATTGAAAAGCTGACGAGAACTTTTTTAACCAGTTCAGTGTCTTTAAAGTCCCTATTGTTTGACTTCTAATAAGAATTAAAGAAAAAAAATCTGAGCTACTGGTTTGGTTGGTAATAAATAATAATTTTCTAAATATCTAATAGTTTTGTGTGATGAATTGACGGGAAAATGCCAGTAAAAATTCATCTAAAGTGGCCAACAAGACAAAGGATGTCTTTCATTTGACAACACAGATCATATTTACTTGTATTGGAGCCGATCGTACCAATGGCAGGGGTAAAATTCAGTATACTTTCCCAATCCATCCCATGACGCTTTTCAGGTCCCTCGCTGCTGCAGACAGTTCAACGTGTGCTGCTCACCAAGGCCAATGTCAAAGGTCTTAGATCGAATGGACTAATGCTTGGCATGTTTTGGGGTTTTCATGTCAGGGCCTAGATTTACTAAGCCCCCCAATGGAGTGACAGAGGCCAAAGGGGCCAGGCGGTGTGAGTGAGCAATAGTCAGAAAGCCTTGACCACAACTACAGTTCTATAATCAGCAGACTACGTATGCAGATGAATTGTTGATGTATGAAGTGGAAGTGTGACTGCTTAATAACAGCATAAGCTTTTAAAGGATGTGCATCTCTATAGAATATTTAACAACAATGAATGAAAGTGAGATGTGGAAAAAAATAAAGTTTCCCTCAGTATTACTCTACAGTATGTCATATAGAGAGGATGTACAGTTTCTTCAACCATTGCTCATCCACACTGACCAGCCCCCTGTAGCATGCAGTGATCAACCGATCAGTCTTTTTCAAGCTTCATAATGGGATGTTCTTTTTGTTTGTTTTCTAAGTTTGTACACCAATTAATAAAAGAAAAACATGTACCTTTCTGTTGGGATAACCACTTTGACTATGGCTTGCGACAGAGTCTGTATATGAAGTCACATCAGATAATAAACATAGAATGTGAGTAATGTTAAAAAGGCAACAGGTGAAAATATATATAGATATGTAAAATGCATTTTTAAAAGTGCAAAAAGACAACTAATTCTCTTTTCACTAAAGGCCAAACTCCTGCATCTCTGAGCATCTTCCTCACACTAACATCGCATTAAATGAACACTGATATAAAGTTGAACTAACTGGAGAACAGGACAAGATATACATCACTAACAGAACTAACAAGAAAGAATAACAGCTGAACTGACTGCTAGCATCACACCAGGTGAATTAACAAACATCCTACTACAGTCCTAGGCTGTCAGGACGAGTTACCTTCTCAAACTCCTCCTTGTTTTTCGGTGGAGGAAGCATGGGAGCACTGGGATTCTTTAATCTCTCCCGTGGCTGTGCGTTGAAGGGGAGCCCAGAGGGAGGTGGTGGGAGTGTGTGCTCCATCATGGAAGGAGGGATGTAGATGGGGTGGGGAGGAATAGGCACACCTTTGCCCCATCCTAATTTCATCTCAAAGTTCATTATCATCTTTCCTGTAGTCAATATAGACAGAACAAATTGACAAGGACAAGTAAGAATTAAACTTGTCCACATATTTGTTCAATAAAGAAAACAAACTCTCCTACCATTCAGGTTCTTGAGAGCTCGCTCAGCATCCCTCCTATTCATGAAAGCCACAAAGCCACAGTTCCTCTCCCGAGCCCTTTCCTCGTCTGTCCTGGGCCACATGATCTTCACACTGGCTAATGGGCCGTACCGGCCAAACTCCTGACACAGCATCTCTTCATTCATCTAATAAACATAAAAAAAGATTAATTTTTTTTTATGTATTTTAACCAAAACACATTAAAATTTAAGCACTTTCATGGACCCACACTCACACTGACATCTGCTTCAATCACAGTTTTGACAGTTATTTACCTGTGGATTGATGTTTCCAAGATACAAGTTTGTAGTGGACGGGTCTCCGACATCATGGGAACCTGGCGCAGAATCGTCCAAAACTGTGGAGACAGAAAAGAAGGAATTATTTCCTACGGCTGTCTGACAGGAGAACATGCATTATGTTCGTAGCAAGTTGAAGGTATGCACGGCCACTATATTAAGTCAAAATTACCACTGGACGGACGGTTTCTCCTTGAAGAACCATCCGCTAAAAGAAGCAGAAAAGCAGTATAAATTTTGTTTCAGGGCACAAGTGGACAAAGGAGGTGGGGTTCGGACGAGAGGATGATGAACAAGTGCAGGAAAGAGCAGTTTCGGGCCATGTTCTAACACTGGGCAGTCGTGCAGTCTAAGGACACTTACATGAACGTCTTCCCTCTGAGGACAGGAGAGGCTCAAAACGACTGACGCGACCCTTCAGCTTGTGTCTTTCGTCCCGTTCTTCTTGTATTCTGCAGGAAGTGATACAGAATGCAGTCAAGCACTTGTATTTAAGTTTGATTTAAACAATAGTATCAAACATATTTTACATATTTCACAAGTTTTCTGCATTGAATTTCAGAGCTTAGTGTAAAAAAAAAACTCACTGTTTGAGTTCTTCTTTGAAAAGTTCTAAGTTGCTCTTTTTCTTCTCCTTTTCATTCCCTTTTTTCAACGCCTAGAACACACACACACGCAGAAAGATCATGATAACATGATCAACATAAATTATGAACTGCAGCAAAAACAAGAGGCAGATTGAGCACAACAGTACTGACCTGTCTTTTGTCTATAGCTAAAAACTGGGGCGGTGTTTCCAAAGGCAAGAAACTAGTCTTGTTACTTTGACCCTCAAAACGTGACTTGGGCTTGTACAACTTCCCTCGTTTTTCATCTGCAGCCGCTTCCTCTGAGAGGAGAAATATCATATCAGTTAAGTATTACAGTTGGAATTATTTAAATGACACTGGAATAAGGCTCAAATTACGTACCTTTTGTAGCGTTTGCAATACCACCACGGACAAAAGCTTTAACTTTGCCCTCTGTTCCACCTTCAAAGGCCGCAAGGAACTCTTCGTAGATTTCTGCTGCTGCTTTCTCATCCTCCTGAAATGGATATATAAAAGTGACTGGTCATACAAACAAGGTAAAAATGACATGAAAACAGTTATCCTTTATCATGCACTGGTGAATATCTAACACGTTGTGTTCCTACAAAAATGTGTCAATTTCTGACACATATGACTATTCAACTATATTGGCTCAAATAAATGATTAATAATAGTCAGGCCTAAAGGTCAATAGCATTATATCACAGCAGAGTTACAGATGAGTAAGTTTAAGTTTTAAGATGCACCACAACAGAATTGAACAGTTGAACTATATAAACTCACCACAATAGAATTGAACAGTTGAACTATATAAACTTCTTCATCCAAATTAAATCTTCTTAAAGGTTATGACAACAATAAATAATAATAATAAGAATCTTCAAAAAATGATTAGTTTTGTACCCAGTAAAGCATATAACAATATTTAAGAATAGTTTCTGTTATATTAGAGTCAGTCTTGTGTGTTGTAACCTGGACATCAGTTGTAATTACATACATAATAAAACAAATGTACACAGGGACGGAGCCCGAACTTACTTTTTTCTTTATTTCATCTTGTTCCTTCCTGCTCAATGTCCTCTTTGCGGCGGACATCTTTCCAATACTGAAGGACTTAAGTTTGCTCTCAAGCAGCGCCTGCAGAACAAACACCGTTTACATTCAACAATATAAAATTGTGAAACACAAGCATAAACAAATCCCAAACTTTGGCGTAATCCACCTAAATATCTGATCACTAATTCGAGTTGTTTAAGACGGATTTAAAAATGTACCCGGGATCCCTGAGGCGCGACAGTGTATATTGTTGACAACCCAGTTAGGTGGCGGTTCAAAACACGACATAGTTCGTATTACAGGTAACGTCAAGTGGCTACGTAGTCTTTCATAACAAACTGTAATACATTTTCTAGTACCACGTCCCCTTTTTAAGTAAACATTATGTAGAAACATGCAGCTAGATGCCCAATATTGTGTACTGACATATCTCTATGTATTCAGAAACCAAATGGCTACTGAGGGCTAACGTATAGGCCGAGTTTACTATCGTAATTTGGCTATGTCCAACATATAACACACTTCCTCCAAATTTTACAGCCACACCAAACGGTGGCAGTTGTAGAAGAGTAATTGTCTCAACCATACATATCCCTCAATCATTTAATCTCCCTGTGTTTCAGTCTAGAGGCTAAAGCGTTAGCTTAGCTAAAGTAACCCGTGTGGCCGGGAAGCTAAAGATTAGCATAACCAACTAACACCGTCACGCAAACCAGTTATTTGCTTACATTTTTTATTCATGCTAAAAACACACAACCGTTGACACTGTTATATCTGCATTGTTTCTTTCAACTATTAGACAACAAATAAGCACAAGACGCCAAATTTACCTTAGCGCTCGCTTTTTGAGAGCCAGGCGTCCGCTCCGCCATTTTTGTGCAACTAACGTAGGATGGAGCTTTTTCTTCTTCTTAGGGTTTTGATGGTAGCAAAAACACTTGATGTTGCAATGTTGCCCCCGCCTGGACGTACTCTCTCGATGACGTCAGTTCTTTAAAGAAAAGAGATTAAGTCCATAATTTTGTAAAAAAATATTTTGAATCTCTGAAAAAATCCATAAAAATAAAAAAATATAATTTCAGAAATTTTTTTAGAATTTTTTTTCTAAAAATTTTCTAAAAACATTGTCCCTAAACATTTTCTGAAAAAAAGAAATTTCAAAAAAACTTTTCGAAAAATTTTTTTCAGAATTTTTTTTTGAAAAATTGTTTTTAGAAAAAAAAATTCAGAACATTTTTAGAAAAAAACATTTTTCTAAAAAAAATCATTTTTAGAAAATTTTTTTTCAGAAATATTTTTGAAAAATTGTTTTTAGAAAAAAAAATTCAGAACATTTTTAGAAAAAAACATTTTTCTAAAAAAAATTTCTGAAACTTTTTTTTGAAAAATGTTTTCTTTTTCTTTTTATGGATTTTTTCACGATGGTAAGGCTATAGTAAGGCATGTTTTGGGTGATTTTTGAAATATTCATATAAAACAAAAAAACTGAGCGGTTAAAAAATGTTACTTCTGCTGTACTTACAGCAGGTGGCGTGCAGGCTCTGCAATGACCCGTTATTTAAAACCGTGATTGAGGGGACATTTCAATCACATCATTTAATGCTGTGTGGTAATAAAGTTAAAATAGACTTACTTGTAAAAAGATTTAATAAGACCTTAGGGTGAAGTTTTTGGATAGTAATTAATATCTATTTAAATATCTATCAGGAACTGAATTAATTCATAGATAAACATTTCTTTACCAAAATATATTTTATATAAACAAACAGCTAAAAAAGATGAATAGAAATAATTAAATATAAAATATTATAGTTAAAAACTTTTTAAACATATCTTGAATCCTAAATATAAAAAAAAAACAACAACTTGTGCTTTCCATTACAATTGTGTACACATACAGTACCTCCATTTGAGAACCACTCTAACACAGCTGCCCTCTACCTGCACCTGTGTTAGTGTTGACACTGTAGCGTTACCATTCATGTAGGTTAGACAGCAGCTACAGTCCCTGTTGAGTGGAATGCCAAAGTGCAGGTATGTCTTCTTTTAGTCAAGTTAATTCATGCCATGCCCTTCAAGCTTTTTCAGCCAGGTGTCTATGATGAAAATGATTGGAGACCACCCACCCCACACCCTCCAAACTCTTTTTTTTGGATAAGCAGCAGCCTGTGCTCCCTCCTTCCTCCCCTCCCTGCTGCCCTCCCTCCTTCACCTCCATCTCTCTAAACCACGCAGAACAAACGCTATATTCATCTGCTCCAGCCTGCAGTCACTGAAGCTCCCTGCAGGAACTCACGGGTACTTTTCCTCTTTGCTCTTGGAGTCTCTCTTTCTCTCTTTTTCCCTCTCTCCCTCACCTTCTCACTGCACAATGCCATTCATGCCACGGTGTGAAACCAGGAGAGAATCCCGCTGCTGTGTGGAGCCAACAATGTGGAGAACATGCAGTATTTTTTGCGCATGGAGTCTACTGTTTTTGGCACAAGTCTGTGCACAAAGTCAGAGGAGGTACATCTTTATCATACTCAACCACAATCTGGTTTACTGCTTTGTCAGTGCGCAAGGTGTCAAGGATCTTCACTGCGAAGAAGCTGGATTTATTTGACAGCAACATTCTGCAGCATGCCTCAGGGTCAATACATTAATTCGAGGTTTCTCAAGGTAGGATCTACTTTTCACCCTGTTTTTCCTGCAGACCAGCCTTTACATGTGGTGGAAACGTCACAGGAGATTCTGGAGTCATCGGCAGCCAGGGTTACCCAGGAGTTTATCCCCCAAACACCAAGTGTGTGTGGAGAATCACAGTGAGTTTTAACATGAAGGAATGTCATTATTTCTAGTATTTCTAGAAGTGCTTCTGTACGATACAAGGATCATTTATTTTATAATTTAATCATACCGACTCTGTTAGAGAAACTAATAGTTATTTTACATGGCATGGTATAAAGTAAGGGTTTTAGCATTACTATTAAAATGTGTCCAAAGATTCTTAGAAAAACTGCCAAGAGAGGACAGACTGCCTTGGTCCAGTCTGGAATTAGTGTCATGAAAAAGCAGTGGAAAGACAAGACCTGAATTAATGTTCAAAAAGTGTCATGAAAAAGCAGTGGAAAAGACAAGACCTGAATTAATGTTCAAATCTATCTCCGAGGAGGAAACTGAAAGAATAGATTTCAGTCAGAATGAACAAAACTAGAACTCTTTGCCAAAAGAGTTGTTCACTGTGTTTTGAGATGAAAGGGAGAAGCTGAATACCCAAAGAACACCATCGCTACAGTGGAACACAGAATGCATGAATTCAATCGGAATTATTGAAAAAAAAAAACCTGTAAATAAAGAAGAATAAAAAGAAGGGGATAAAAACACAACAATTCATAATTTTAGCATAATATTGACAATGAATATGGCAGATACTTGCTGTTGCTAACCAGACCATTAGCGAGAGCAGCTAAAGTTCCGGCTAAAATATGTTACAAAGCACATAGCAAAATGAAGTAAAAAACTTGGATATTGGAATTTCCATACTTTTCCGACCAGGTCCCTGAGGGAAAGGTGGTGGTCCTGTCATTCCGCTTCGTCGACCTGGAGAGTGACAACCTGTGCCGCTACGACTATGTGGACGTTTATAGTGGCCATTTCAATGGACAGCGGCTCGGCCGCTTCTGTGGGACGTTCAAACCAGGGGCCTTGGTGTCCATGGGCAACAAGATGCTGCTGCAGATGGTGTCTGATGCCAACACAGCTGGAAGTGGATTCCTGGCGGTCTTCTCCGCTGCACACCCTCACGAAAGAGGTTGGTAGACAAAAGGGAGAGCAGGAGTTGACACAGAAACAGATGTTCCACTACTTTACTGAGTCATGTTGGATCTTCCTCCACGGAACTGGAGCTGCCTTGTGTCTGTATTTTGTACCAAAGAAGAAGAAGTGATTACCAGGAATCAACTCTAGACTCAGTTAAAGAAAAAGAATTATTGAGTCGTACGATGGGCTGCAGTTTTTAATATCTGCTGAGTAAGAATTTATGGAAAAGAATATATCAATTTATTAAAGCTGACGAATTTATCGTAAAGAATATATCAATTTATTAAAGCTGAATGTATTGTTTTCCTGTTGGCATTAAATCAAATCTTTTTTAAATCACAGACAAGGACAATTTCAACTATGTTTTTAGCACACCCTGCAGGTGAGGCTAGGGACACTCTGATCTTATAAAAAAAAAGCAGTAAAAAATAATTTCTCGGCCTTCAAGCCACAAATCTGTGAAACACTTTCAAATCATTCAGACAGAATAAAACAAAGTGTAGTGTAGTTGTTTCTCTTAGGTTTTCATACAAGAGTGTAGTTGTTTCTCTTAGGTTTTCATTTGTCTGAGACAAGGCTAATAGTTCTGAGCTCCAGCAGAGCGCAAAAAGACCAACATCTCTACATTCGACACAGCCTGATGTGGAATTTCTCACCAATTTTTTTCTCTGTCAGCCTCTCGGCCGAAAGCCCACGTCAGAAGAATCACTTAAAGTCGATGAGACGTTTCCTCTTGGTGGGGTTGAAAAGTCTCATCTACTTTTTCTCTGTGGAATTTTAATAGCTGGTTGTTTGTGCTCAAGAATTTGACAGCTGGAAATGGACAATAGCTGTTAAGCAGACGGCGTGGCTGTTACACAATGTACGACAACAGAAAGAGCGTGCCGTCTCTGAAGTGTTGTCAACATTGTAAGACACACGTCAGATTCGTGGCAGTGCGAAATTATACTTCCTTGGAATGTTGGAAAGGAAAACCCTAAATTTAAGGGGTATGTTATAAAAAGATGTTTTATGGAGATAAATGTTGAAAGAGCTTGTATTGTTTTTGTCTTGGCACATGCAGCACAGCAGGCTGCATGAGTCTGCTTCTAACAGGATGGCAAATCCGATCTGAGGCATTTCCCTGAAGAAACATCAGTGACCTTCAACGCAAACACAGCCTTGATGGGGCTCCAAGATTAACTTTACTTATTACTCCCCACAGGGGACCAGTACTGTGGAGGCAGACTGGACAAACCAACGGGCACTTTCAAAACACCCAACTGGCCAGAGAAGGATTACCCAGCAGGTGTGACATGTTCCTGGCACATAGTGGCACCAAAGAACCAGGTAAGAACCGATTCCCAGAAGAACCCAGGTAGGTTCAAGTTGTCCGTGTCAAAGATGCTTTATTTATAAAAAGATAAACATTATCCGTTAGCATAACTCAAGGCTAATTCGAAAAAAATTGCCAAAAGATTTTACAATACATTTTTAAAAAAGCTAAAAGGCTAAAAGACAGGATGGTAGTTTAAAGTTAGCCAAAGCATAGCTACTACTACTTTGCTGCTCTTTATTGACCTGCACTTTATTGTAAGACAGCGTTGGGTGGATAGGTTTGTGGAAAACATGATGCCGACGCTGATTGAGAGCAGCAGCCTTTAATCAAGTGGTCCAGTCTGATGACAGGGTGTATTTCAGAGCTGTAGCAGCTCAGTGAGGATTTCCTTAACAACATGTCTCCTGTGGCAGATCATTGAAGTCAAGTTCGAGAAGTTTGATGTGGAAAGGGATAACTACTGCCGCTACGACCACGTCTCTATTTTCAATGGAGCGGAAATCAACGATGCTAAAAGGATTGGGAAGTACTGCGGCGACAGCCCCCCAGAGTAGGTGATTCTGTTATGCAGACGATTGAATTCTCTCTGAAACCTCGGTCCTGTGACTTAATCTCAGTTTACCTCGAGTCTGCTTCCCTCTGCAGGCCCGTGTTCTCTGAGGGGAATCAGCTCCTAATCCAGTTCCTGTCAGATCTCAGTCTCACTGCAGACGGCTTCATTGGACACTACAAGTTCAGACCAAAGAAGTTCCCGACCACCACGATACTTCCCACCACCACCACACAGCCAGGCACCACCAGGCCCATACGTAGGTAGCAACGTTAGTTCAATCAGAACTTTTGGGACATGTGTTTCTAAATTGTTTTCCTGTGAAACTTATGACCATAGATAAGAAGAAAGCTAAAATTGAGTTTCAAACCTGTTGAAGAATATACTTAAGATTTAATTAAATTATTCTGGACTTTATCCAAAAACCCTTGGGACAAAAATAATCTGGTGGTAGAACATTAAATATTCTTTTTTACAAAATATCTCCAGGACCGCATAAATCTGACACAGGTGCCATGATTAGCCCCGGGGCCATACTTTGGACATGACTGCTCATGAAGTACTAATTCCCTTGTGGAGATCAAGAGCATTTCATTTAGTTTGAATATAAAATAAATCAAATAAATATCAGGCAAATCAAAACTGTGAATTACTGCAGTACTTGTACGTCAGCCTCCTCTGTGTACAGTACACACTCTTTACTCCAAATATAATTTCAGCCTAAAGAAGCACATGTTGAAACACACCACGTACACACAGTGGTACAGTGTGAGTGTGTGTCTGAGGCCACAGTCACAGCTCGTTTTCATACACACACTCACATTCCAAAACTCCTTTTTTTTCCTGTAGTCAAACCTGGTTATTTTTTGCATCTCACTGCCAAGATGTCACACAGTGGTGGCCTCTGATTGGCTAAGATGCTTTGAATTTCCATAATCTACTCAGTACTACATTAGGAATCCCAGTATTTCCGTTAAATTGTGGATTTTTTTGTAAATAGAGTCTAAAAATTGTGTAACTCCAGGAGTAGGTGTTTGTTTTTGTCCCACTGGTCTAAATATAGCTCCGTGAGGATACTGGCTGTGGGTTTTGCACCGACTCTGAATATTCTGTGAAAAAACCACTGCAGCAGCCAGAGCCACCGACCAAATTAGAGATGACATTTTCCTCTGTGTTTCTGTGTGTGTACAGCTCTGAAGTACTCCATTGCACTGTGCCAGCAGAAATGCAAACGGCGAGGAACACTCGAGAGCAATTACTGCTCCAGCAATTTTGGTAAGAACATCATTGGCTGGTGGAATTTGTGGGAAAACCCAGAGGAAAAGTCACACTGAGGAGCTGCAGGTTTTCAAACAGACATGATTAACCTCAACGCACTGCTGTAGATACCTATAGATGTAGAACATGCAGTAAATCACATGAAAAGTTAGTAAATAAATAACACATAAATATTATGTTATTATCAAAATTATGTCATGTGATAGCTTAAGGATGAAAAAGAACGGAAACAAATAATTTAGTAAATAATAGAGTTGAAGAATAGTTAAATAACAGGCAAATATAAGAGCTACCTATCTATAAAAGTAGCATGTATCTTAAACTAGCTTAAATGTAGCAAAGTCTTCAACAGCCTGTTGTGAACCGTAGGGGATTCAAACAGGTACTGCAGTTGTGTGTGATGTTTGGTCGTTCAGACAATTTAAAATAAAACCATTAATACATGAAGCTGTGTTACATGAATGGCCTAGCTACTAATATATATCCTCTCATGTTAGCTTAGCTTGTCATAAGCAGATTAATTTTGCTCATTAAAAGCAAAATGACAAGTCAAACAGCAAGAAAAACAAACAGGCAAATATATCTAAATGTTAGCATTCCTGGAAAATATGGCAAAACAAGTTTGAGTAAATAAAATTAGCCAAACAAGAGCAAATATATCTAAATATTAGCATTCCTGGAAAAATATGGCAAAACAAGTTAAACATTTGAGTAAATAAAATTAGCCAAACAAGAAAATATAAATCAGCTCAGCAGGGCTGGATGTTAGCTACGAGCTAGCTAATGGCTGAATGAATGAATGAAGACCAAAAGACAAGACAAAGTCAGCTCAGAACGTTTTTTTACCCTCTATAACAATAACTGTAACTGAGTCTACCTTTTTTGCACACTTCAAGAGCTTTCTTGACAAGCGCGCCAGGAAGTGAAGGAGTGTGTACAGTAGGACACAGTTGACTCCAGTGTAAACACACACACACACACACTCAGACTGTTGATAAACAAAGGTGTTGATTCAGCCTGGCCCTCCGTTGGCTAACCTCCTGCTCTCTGATGTTTCCTCTCTCAGATGTTTACCACATGTAGATCCAACGGTTCCTTCATAAAAAATAAAAAAAATTAAAAAAAAGCTTCTGCATTGAACAGCACAGTCTGAAGGAAAGGGCAGTTTGTTAAAGACAACGCTCTGAATTATGTCATCTACCTTGGGATTTAAAACAAACACTTCATCAGATCAGAAACACACTGGCACCATCTGTGAGAGGAGTCCTGTTCATGCTGAATGAGATGTGATTTCCACTGGCTGCACTATTAAACTGCTGTCACTTCAAATCTCCTTCATCCACTATGAGCCTGGACAACTTTAATATATGTATTATTGTGTGGACACATGGTCAGAGTGAAGATAAAATAAATACCACCTGCCATTTTGGCCAGATGGGGGGAAAAAAACTAGCATAAAATGACTAAAACTGATTTTCAGTGTTTTTTTCTGGGCTAAACAAAAACACACCAGTGATTCTACACTCCATTAACTTCCCTTTCAGACTCTTGTATGTGGCCCACACAGTACAGCCCGAGCATATACAAGCAGCAAGTTTCTGAGGAAAAGCCTTTTGACTCATGCGTAAATAATGAAGCTGTAAAAAAAAAACAGTGAACGGGTAGAATGATGGGATTTTTAGGATTGATTTTCAATGAACAAGTATAAAAATGCCATTTCTGTAATGAAATTTGTTGTATTTGGAGGCCTGAACAAGTATAAAAATGCTATTTCTGTAATGAAATTTGTTGTATTTGTATAATGAGTTTACGTCAATTTTTCATCACCATTGTGTGTGTGTGTGTTTGTGACAGTGATTAGTGGGACTGTCATCACTGCGACCATGAGAGGAGGAAGTATGTACGCCACAGTCTCCATCATCAACCTGTATAAAGAAGGCAGCCTGGCCATCCAGCAGGCAGGAAAGACCATGAGCACCAAAATCACGATCTTGTGCAAGAAGTGCCCGTATGTCAGGAGAGGTGAGTGCACGTCATCATGTGACCAACTGTCCACACTCAGTTGACAGCACTGGCCAAAGAGCCTGTGAGGTGAGCAGCAGAACTCCAACCAAACAGTCACTGAAGCCTGACCTATGTTTATATGGCTGCATATAAACATATCTCATTCCTCTGCCACGGGAGATTCTGATGTCGGGTCTTTCCTGAATGTCTCTGCCGTTACCGCCACTGCATTCAGGTTCTTTCTGTGTGACCTCACCAGGCTTGAGCTACGTCTTCATGGGCCAGGTGGACGAGGAGGGCCGCGGGAAGATCGCCCCCCACCACTTTGTCATGGCGTTCAAGGCCAAGAACCAAAAAGGGTTGAACGTCCTGAAGAACAAACGCTGCTGAGCTCCTCCAGGAGCTCCGAGGATCGGCACTCGACTACTTTGACCTGAGGCTCAGAGGTGGATGTAAACGATTAAGGAGAGAAGACACTTCATCTCAACAACATACATGAGGTATTTTAAAAAAAAAAACAAAAAAAAACTTCCTCTACAATTCCCATTTGTGTTAAAAGGAACAATGAGGGAGTTGTGTTTGAGTGCTTTGATGTTGGCCTAAGATGAAAAATGGAACCTTTGTCAAGGATTTCACATGTGTTCTACATCTCTGGATGGAACTGATTTTTTTTCCTGTAATTTTAAAAGCACCTGAAGTCAACATGAGCCGTAGAGCGTGCAGAATAACATTTTGGAGAAAAGTTTCTGTAAGTTCTAGACAAGATTCTTTTTAGGTCTGTAATCATTTCTTAGAACAGATGAAGAAGTCGGTTTTGGAAATTAAAATCGCATTTAGAAAAAAATACCTAAACCTAAGTATTCAGTCAATAAGATCATCAGGAAATGTTACTGAAATCTGAGTGAGAAGCCGATCTCTTTTGGGTCGTTTTCCAAAGCCAAATACGACCGTTTCTTATTAACAGTCTATGGAAGGAAACCACAGATTATTTCATTTAATTGCAGTAAAGTGATATTTCTGTTTAATTACACTGTAGTTCTGTAAACTGAATCTGATTGGGTAATAATTCCACAGACCACAGACCTATTTGTTAAAACTGTGTCTGTGCACGTTTTCTTTGACGTTCCACGTTTTGTGTATTGTTGTCCTCCATTGTGATTGTGTGCAATGTCAATGAAATTTGGGGTTTAATTTTTAATATAATTTAAAGACAAAGTCTGTCAAAAATCGTCCCAAATATATATCTAAGCCTTTAGGCCTCCAACTGAGTTTTACTAAATGGGAATAACTCATGTGTAACGATGGGGTTCAGAAGTGGGCGGGGCTTGGAGGTTTCTTAATGTGGTGATTGAAGTGCAATATTTAATATCTGCAGTACGTGACTCTTTCAAATATATATATATATATATATATATATATATTTATGCTGGTTTTTATGTGAAACAAACATCTTTGTAGCTGGAGCTCTTCCTCTTAGTTTACGGATGCACCAACATTAGTGTTCACCATTTACTCACTGTCGTTGTTTGACAAGGAAGAGGTGTGAAAGAAAAATATTTTCATACGGAAAATAATGTCTGTGAATGTTATTTATATTTTACTGTTTTCAACTGCTCGAATAAAATAAAAAAATCTACGTTTTCCTCGTGTGTTTTTTTCCCGTCGTTGCACAGAAACCAAACTGGGTCAGCAGAGATTAGTGAAATATGTGCTGCTAATCATGAGGCTGGATCAGATGATGTGTAACGTGCGTCTCAACGGACCGGGCCTGTGGGACTGTTGGTCCAACAACTGACACTTTTCTGGCCCAAAGTGTCCAAATATCACTTTCAGAGATAGAAATCACTAAGAATATTCAAGTCTTGAACGCAGGGTTTGATTCAGGTCGAATATTTTGACTATTAAAGCTCCAGCGAATTTTCCAAAATTTTTATTTGTCCTTTTGAAAACAATTTCTTTATTTACAAAAAAAAGCTGTAGAGCCGCATAATACACTAGGGGGCTTAACCTGAAGGCTGTTCTGGGAATATATATATATATATATATATATATATATTTAGATATTTTTCTTATTAAATCCAAGTTTTGAAGTCATGTCTGTGACTCAAAATGCAGTTTATCTTACGAATATTCGTTTTTGCTCATGCTCGGGTCGCACAGAATCCCAGAGAAACCTGAGGCCGATGTCCTGTCGAGACGTTCAGCTCCTCGGGTAGAACATGGCGTATTTGGACGTCCGGAATCCCAACAGGTCCCTCATCTCGTTGCGAAACTTGGAGAGGTCCTGGCGTAGGTCGTGGAGGTTTTCCACGGTGGCCTGGTCTGTGCTCTGCATCTTCTGGCGCGTGGACGTCAAGTAGCGGTGAACCAGACAACACATGATCTTCTGGTAGTTCTCGTCACGCTTCTGTTTCAGGTTTTTCCATTCCTGAGGAGGAAGACGGAGCAGGAGCTCAGAGAATTCATTATTCATTAATTAAGGACATGAGGATGAACTGAGAGAGTTGGAAATGCTCAAAGTTTCATCGGAACTAAGAAACACGGACGTGAATGATACTGAGATACTTGAGACATTTGAAGATTGATGTTAAAAAGAAACAGAGAAAGATTTGCCAAAAAGTACTAAATATATCCTCCAAGAAAATAACCAAAACCAAACTAGCTGGACGTGCTACTGTTAGTTTTTTTTTTTTCCAGCCAATATTTCCATTTTGTTTTCCTCACCTTCAGACTGTTCTGTCTCTTCACTCTGCCCTTCGAAGTGTGTGAGCAGATCCACTTGCTCATACTGGTCACAAAGTAGCACACGGTCTTCGGGGAGGGCAGGATGTTCAGAGGTGGTGGCAGAGTGCACTTGTCGTCAAAGTAACTGAGCCACAGTTTGGCTCGAGCAAACTTCCACTCCTTGTCCTCGTGATTCTGCCAACACACCCACACCCCCACCAACCAAAAAGAAGCCCCAGAAATAACAGAGAGGAATGTTAGGAAAAATGCAGAAATAGTGAAAACCACGTATTTTTACTGAGTTTAATGAAAATCAAATGTTGAAGGAAAATGAGGAAACATCTGTGCAGCATTTCAGGCCGAGTTAAATCTTCACACTGAGTGGACGAGGTACAAACAGTTCCTTCAGCCAGGTGGGGAAACTAAAACACACACACACACACGCGTGTTAATACTTACGGCAATTTGTCTGAAGCTTTTATGGAGCATTGCCACCAGCAGCTTGGTCAGCACAATGACCACCACGATGTTGTAGGTGCCGATGATCATGGCGCCGACAAATGAACGCAGCTCCTCCGTTAGGTTGATGCGGGTGACGAACAGTGCGACGTGCGCTAGGGAGAAGATGTACCAGAAGAGGGCGTAGCAGGTTCCCATGAAGCTGGAAAACAACAGAAGATGTTAGAAGGTGTCTGACCTTTCCTACAGGGAAGCCTCGGAGGAATTCTGGAGGTTCAGGGTTTGAGATGACAGACTGAGGTGTCTGGACCAGACCTGTGGAATGCACTGTTGCTCTGCTGTGGGCAGAAGATGCCCTCGCAGTCCCTGGGTGGTGAGTTCTTCTCCTTCTCATTCCCTCCATAAAGCTGAGTGAGTCCAATGGTGAAGGAGAACAGGACCAGCAGGAAGAGGCCGAGGAACTTCCCAAACTCCTGCAGCATCTGACCCATGGAGATCTGAGGAGAGATGAGGGTTAGAAAAGTTCAGTAAAGATGAGAAAATGTTGACCTGGTGATGATTACGTTTCTATTTAGCTGTTTGTGGCTAACTGTGCAGCTCTGTAGCTACATATTCCACTAATAATACTACAGGTATTCTTTTAACCCTACAGACATACTCTGGCAGCCGTGGTTTCTCACTTGGCCTGAGTGAAGACAAACTCACAGAGCAGCGAGGTGTTGGACGGACAAAGTCTTCTCAGACTAATGGACAGATATTCACGGAGCTGAGAGCTTTATCTGTTCTCCCTCAGATTCTCAAACGAGGTGAAAACACGTTTAAACAGCAAACAGCGGCGTCCTGTCAGGGTGAGCGATGACCGCTGTGGCGCCACCTCAAGGTTAGAGTGTTTTCACGGAGACCCCGGCTGCTCCTCTGAGGAGGAGGTCTGGTCCCAATGGGCCGATTCATCCTCTTGTCAGACACTTGGTACACACCTGATTTAGGAGCTGAGGCCGTCGCCGACTAACTTTGTCACTGGACAAACAGGGGCGGAATGTGGGAGGCTAAAGATGATGCGTTCAAGGTCTCTCAACCTAGCCTTAAGACACACAGACACACTAACCTAAAATGATCAACGTGTCGATGAGTGCATTTAATAATGTCTGCTAATCTGTGCTAATGTGTCAGTTAATAAGAGTCTTGGATTTTTCTCTCCCAAAAACTGTGAATTACCAATCACCTAAACATTTGCGGCTAATTTTTTACCCACACAAACTTTAATGGTTTTGCGGTTAGTGAGGTCGCTGTTTTCTTTCTTTTTCCTAGGACGGTGCAGGCGTCGCTGACTTAACTATCGTTGATGTTTGATCAAATTTAGCATTTATTGTCTAGTCATATTTTGCTAATTTTATGTACAACTAGCTATATTTACAGGCTGTAATTATTTTGACAATAAATATTTTTTGCTTTTTAGTATTTGTTTGTGGAAGCATGAAATCCTTCCAAAACTGAGTGCTACCCTCAACCCAAAGTGATTTTTCTGGACTAAATCACTTGTTAAAACTCAGGATGTTTTATGAATCATTAGGGGAACAGTTGAGCCCTGGTTTATTTTGTGTTATCAAACTGAAAGTAATTGGATTTTCCAGCCCATGGACCATACTGTAAATGCCTCCCGCTGTGCCGCTGCTTTTATTAACACTGTGAATGGGGTGAAGTCTGGGCCATGAGTGAGCTCACTGATGATAGCAGATACACAGACACACATTCATGACCTCAGTCACTCTTTCCAACCTCAGGAGGAGGGAAGAAACCAGGAGAAACGTGAGCTGGACGGAAAAAGAATTCAAAGGAAACATACATTAGTGCAGCCCACATGGTACTGACTCACAGTCTGTCTGTGAACAGGAGAGTGTGTGTGTCTTTGTGCCTGTACTCCACTGAGGAGGTGTGTCGGCCGCGTGAGCGTCAGCGTGGCCGCAAACACACTGCCACATGTTTTTCTAAAAGAAAGAATTTTTTCCATCCCACTCAGTCAGACGGTGATGTCACCGAGTGGGTGAGTAAAAAAAAGGTGGGAGGATGAGGAGAAAAAGGTAGAGAAGGAGGATGAAGTGGAGTGTACCTTATTATTAACCTTCATTAGCCTCAGTGTTTTTATGTGTCAACCACAAACAGCTTCAGGCCTAAAACAGAGGGAAACTCCACACAGTCAGGAAGGTCTGTGGTATGGAGTGAAGAAACGTTTGGTGGAAACATCTTAAACACTTCAACATATGTCTACAGCTATGTATACATGACCGCAGGACTATGAACATTATGATGTCATAAAAGAGAAAGAGAAAAAAAAAAGAGCGCGAGGGACATGTTTTTGTTGGTCAATAAGAAAGACAGAAAAAGGTGTTATTATTATTAACCTTATTTTGATTCAATTCCAACCAACTTCTGATAGAAACTTCACACATAACATCGATACCCCTTCACTCTCTCCCTCCATCAGTCATCTTTGTCCATCCATCCATGTTTCTGTCCTCCTTTCCTCCCTCCATCCATCCCTGCAGCTGGAGCTGATATTTTCCCAAACCCAACTCAAAATACAAAAACACCCATTGTTCCAGGATTTGTGCATTTTTCTAGCAAAATTTAATTTCTTTGTTTTGTATGTTGTGAAAATCATTTCCATCTTTAGCAAAAAAAAAAAAAAAAAAAGTGGCGAGGTTCTGAATATGTGCTGCCAGCTGAACCGAGACTCTGGGCCAGTGCACGACAGAGTTTCCAGAATTCACATAAGTTTACACTTTTAACTTGAACCTGGCATGTTGTTCTTTACAAGACCGACATCTGTTCTTAATGTTCCGCAGCCTCATTTACTACAATTGTAGTGTTTGTTGACTCCAAAATATTTGGTAGAAAATCTAAATTAGCAGCTCGGGCAAAAAAATAAATCTGTTTAGAATGAAGAGAAAACAGTGGTTCGAATGGTATGAAGTGAAACAACAACTGAATTTACTGTTTCATTAAAGGTCATTAAAACGACTACTGTTTCTACCAGATTGTGATTAATATAATAAGACATGACAACTGCAACATGATGAGACTCAGCTCTTCATTGGCTGAAGTTTGTGGATCAACCACAGTTTGGAAAGAAATGTAACGCATTTGTCAGTTCACTCAGAGTTCCTATTAAACGGGTTGGGATTCAGTGCTGCAAAACTGAGCTACTGATGTTTGCTGTGGGTTTGTCCTTGAGTGTTCACAGCAAACTGAGAGAGTGGGTGGTGTTAGCTGGAGTGCGAGTGGTAGAAAGAAGGATAGAAATGAAAGATTTGCTTAAAAATATTCAGGGTACGATTACACAATCCTATATTTTTAAATCCTTTACAATTTTCCCATTTTGAAAAACTTCCAATCAATATTCTAGTATTCTAGGATGACTGACTGAACATTCATCTTTAACCTGTGTCTTTCACACTCTCTTCTTACCTGCAGCGGCCCGAGGATGGAGCTGGTGGTGTACATAAAGAAGAGTCGCAGGTAACTCAGAACGTTAGCGAAGGCAAACAGACCCTCGGCCACCAGGATGGGATGGAAGGCATCCCAGTTTTTCCTCTCAGTGTCCTCCACGTTCTTAAACTGCAAAACAAAGTTCAAAATATGACATGAAAAAAAAATTGAGTTTTTTAAATGTTCATACACTATTTAAAGGCAGAGTAGTTAAATTCCTTGCTTTGCATTTGTAAACCTCAGGTCCATTGTTGCCCCCTGCTGGTTCTATCTTCTACTGGTTAACATTAAAAAAAAAGAAAAAAAAAAGAAAATACTGACAGATGGCAGCATACTGGCAGAGAGAGATTCTCTGCACACCTTAAAACCACAGATGTGAAACCTGAAAATGTTCCTCTACCTTGCTGTGAGCAACTATCTTGAGAGCGAAGGTTGCGAGATATAGGGAATTCATCACAAAGCTCAGCTGGTTCCTGGACTCTTCCAGGAAGTCCTCCAGGCCTTCATACCACAGGCGTTTTACGTCTGACCACACCATCCCTACACACACACATACACACACACACATACATACATACAGTATGGGAAATGTTGAACATTTTACGACTGCTCTGAGAATTCCATTATGGAAAAAAGAAGAAACAGGAAACACATTGATTTAAGGCTGGTGAGTCATCTGCTGCAGGATTTAGGGAAGAGTACGGACTTTAATAAAGACGGCTGTCTTTTTGTTCCCAAGAAGAATTCAGTCGGAGGCGAGATACAAACTGAAAGCTGGAGTCATACATCAAGGAGCAGTGACATGTTTCTGTCAGGCATCGTCACAGCCCACTGAACCTGACTCTGTCATTGATTTCTGTGGTTTCAGCAACAGATAAGACAAGGAGGAGTGACAGGAGTTTGACACTTTTCCTCAGGAAATGAACTGTTTTTCCCCTCAGGGAATAATATCAGATTATCAGGAGAGGATGAGAATATTCTAACACGTCACTTTCTTTAACGTGGCTTCCAATAAACGACTGATATTTATTGTCAAATTTTTTATTCTAAAAATGAATGCTGCGAACTCCAACGCACATTTAGCAGCTGTTTCTACCTTTGGCTCTTTTATGTGTTTAATAAAATAAACACAACTTTGACCCTTTCATCGGTTATATTAGGTTTGTTTTCTGTCTGACCAGTGAACTGAAATCCTGAAATTCCAGACACTGAAGAGATACACTAATGCACACACACACACACATACAGCATCTGATTTCCCCATTAATGTGAAGCAGCCGGCTCAGAGGAAGAGCAGGATGGAGGGGAGAGGAGAGAGACGACAGGAAGGGTGGAGAACAATGTGAGCGGAAGGCTGTTGATGATCTGACTGTTGATAACTCTCTGCTGGTGTCCGGCACGTGTACTAGCATGTATTAGCTTCTGTTCACATCCTGATAACATTGGTACACGTTGGTCGCCTCCCTGTGACTGAACTGATTTTGGATGGAGGCTCGACGCTGCAGAGAGCAGAGGCTGCAGCATCAAAGGCAGCGGATTCAGCTGAATGAGTACAAATTGATCTTTAAGCTGCTCTGCTGCAGCGATTATAAATCCCCTCCACCCCCCCATCTGCTGAGTCACAGCATGGAGAAACAAATTACACGTCTCCCTAATGATTCAACTACTGATCTTAATCCTGCAATTTGCTGAAATTCATAACAAATCGCTCCAGAGCCTCCTCTTTGTTTCTCAGCTCTATTAGTTTGGGGAGGAGGGGGGAAGAGGGTCACAAAGAAATCTGTGACTACCATGCAGTGGTGTGATGGAGGAGAGGTCGGACGATGGGACACACAAAAAACTCCAGGCTGGGAGAGCTGGGCAATTAAAGCCGTCGTGCAAAAAGGCTGGTGGTTTGGAGGCAGCAGAGGAAGATCGAGTCAGTAAACTAGTGTGCGTGCTTGAGGTTTGTATGTGAAAAAAATGTGTAAATGTGAATTATTTAGTTGGAAACAATCGCTCAAAGGATTTATAAAAACAACAGCGTAATTTGACTAAATTATTTGGAAAGAATTGTACATTTTAAATCATAAAATGGTGTTTTATTTTGTTGCTTCTAGAACTGTAATGTTTTGAACTCTCTCGGTATAAAAGCTTTAATGTCCAAACATCTGACCTATGATCCAGAGGATGAGCAGGTAGTCGATCATCTCCAGCGCGGGGCCCATGGTGTTCTTCTTGCCCTCGTTGTAGACCAGGGAGTAGAGGTTGAGCAGCAGCAGGAAGGTCATGTAGGAGGCGCTGTGGATGATGAACTTGACGAAGGGCGTGTGGATGATCTGACCCACACGTGAGCGTGGAACCAGAAGGTAGCAGACGGAGAGCAGCGGCCAGAGCATGGCTACGCTCAGAACAGTGGCCATCTTCAGACAGGTGTGTTTCCTCCTGTAACTGGCCGTTTCTCCGAACCACACGGTGTTGAGAAACTGCTGACAGTTGGACTGAGCCACAAACTGTACAAGAAGAAGACACAGCATGTGGAAAAAGAAGTGAGTCGGATATTCATTTTTGAGCAACAATTTTAGCCTAATAATTGTTACAAAACTACAATTTGCAATTAAAAAAAATACCATCTGTGAAAATAGCTCATGTCCATGTTTTGTACTAAGTCATTTAACTGTATGAATATACAGAGTGTTGTCAGTCCAGCAGGACAACAGTCTGTTTTAACTGTACTGTGAAATATGAGTCTGACTTTGACTCTGAACCATCTCTGCTGTAAATCACCTCAGAACTTCAAACCGGGGTTTGAACTTGACTGACACTCCCTGGAGGGAACTCTTTATTTTTTTATTTTCCATGTTTGCTCAGGTCAAACCCTGGTGACCTTGACAAAAATGACGTATATATTTATGGACTAGAACGAAGCTCTTTCTTAAACATGAAGGGCTTTTTTTCCAGGTCTGACCTCCTTCTGGTTGTACTTGATGGCCAGTTTGAGGCGGCTGAGGTTCATGCGTTCCTCCAGCAGACCTCTCTTGTTCACGTGATCTTCGCTGGAGGTATGATTCAAAATAACCTCCAGCTCTCGTGAGTTTCGAGCCTGTGCCAGCAGGTCCTTGGCGAACATCTTACACTGCTTCGCCAGCTCCTCGTAATCATTCCTGGAGTAAAGAAATCAGATCGAAGCAGACCAGATGAGAGTGATTTATTCTCATCAGATCCAGACTGTACCGCAGATGAGGATTTATGATAAAATTCCCATCTCCTTTGTCAACCTAGATTTCATAATGTGCTAAATGACATTAGATGATCTCCTCAAACATCATCCATCTCTGACGCTTCGTACCTGAACTCCACCTCCACCAGACTGAGCTCCTTCAGGTCTGCACTCAGCTCAAAGGCTCTGAGTATGGGATCCTCCTCAGTCAGCATGATGAGTGAGGGACTGGCCAGACACCGGTAGATGTCCAGGCGGAACCTTAACCCACAGAGAATGAAAAAAAGAAATGAAAGTCTTTTTTTAGTATTTTAAAAAAGCCTAAACTCTATTTTATGTAGTTTTTTAATTTTGCAGAACTTTGGGATTTCTTACTTCTCCTTCCCTTATTTTATTTAAATGAAGTACAACATGAAAACATGGTATGCTGAAAGATTAAAAAAAACATTCCTAAAAATACCAATACATAACAGATGACATTTTGAAACCAGTGCTATTATTGAAAACAAGAAACTGCAGCTTTACTGGAACCTTCCCTGAACTCCTCCCTGACAGACTGTATGATTCATGGCTGTGTTTAAGGCTCCATCCTGTCAGTGTGAGGAGCTAAACAACCATCATGTGAAAAACAAAGACATTTACTGTGAGAGACAGTAAACCACTGCAGCTCTGAACTCTACCTGGAGTGTCGAAGGCTGTCCTTCTTGTTCTTAGCGTTGCACAGCGTGCACTCACAGCCTACGGCGTGAGGCCGCGGCAGAGAGATGTCCTGTTTCAGCAGCATGGTCAGGATCTCATAGTTGTTCCTGTGGGCTGCCATGATGACCGGTGCCACGTCCATGGTGGTGGAGTACTCTGGGTTCTGAATACGCTGCATCAGTTTCTACAAAGGGTTCACAGAAATATGAATTTACATCACACTTTCGACGTCATCTTCAGAGTTTATTTGATTTGAAAAGCGGCGAGGGGAGAAGACTGACAGCAATCGAGGGCTTGGACGATCTCCTGGGCCTGTGGTTGAGGAGGATGTCCACGGCTCCAACCACCTCTGAGTCTATAGCCACCAACAAGGCATCTGTGGCCTGCAGGAGGACAGACATGAGTGGAAGATAAAGCACACGGGAACAATCATATTTTTTATTGGTTTGCTGTAATCCAGTACTGACAGGAACGACTGTCTGGGACCATGTGGTCTGTTGTTAGCAGGTCGTTCACTGCCTTTTTATACGGGCAGTTGAACAGATGGATCATTTTAGGTTGGGAATGAGTTTTTATGGACAGTTTATAAACTCAACAACAGAAATATATGTTTATTTACCATTTATATCACTATAAAAAATACAATATTCCATAAGTCTTGATTTGATTCTATTATATTTTGCAAAAACTGAAATAAACAACTTCTACATTTTTCATTTATCTTGGCTACCCTAGAAAAATCATTTCAAAATCATAGGTTGTGTACAGACATTTTTTTTCATCACTAACTGTTAGCTACTTTTGTTACTCACAGCCTTATCCGGCTATTTGGCAGCTAACGTTTAATATTTGTATATGTTTAATATGTTCTGCTAACCTGAATGTATTTAAATCTGTTGAACCTCAACCAACAGCATGGTCCCATAGTCACAAGTGCTTTTTGGTGAGAGTTCACACGTGTACATATGTCTCATATGTTCAATACCTGACAGCCATGATCCAGGAGAAGCTGCAGGATGTCAAGATTCTCGTTCTCGATGGTGATGGTCACGGCGTCTCGGCCCAGCACGTCCACGCAGTTGACGTTGAGTTCGCCGTGTTTGTTCTCCTCCAAGAGTTTCTTCACCATGTAGTAGTCACCTGACCAGCACAAGAACAAAATAAGAGATAATTTAATTTAATTATTACAAAGGTAGGATCATAAAAGCAGTGAAACATCATTCACACACACACACACACACAGACTCGTGTTCAGTCTGGTGGTGCACAGCAGACATCTTCACTGACAACAATAACATCTCCCTCAAAGGACAAGGGTTTGTTTTGCTCAACCATGTTTGCAGAGCCTTTATATGGTCACACTGGCAGTTACAAGAATAACATCTGCCTGCACAGAGCTCTTTACTTATCAATGAAACAGACTGGCTGATAATAACCATGCTTCTCCCTTATTACTGTGCAGTTTCACATGAGTACATACATCTCCTTGTTGGGTGCTGTAAAAACTGCAAACCATGAAAACGTGTTTAGTCGAGAGTTTCTAATGTAAGAAAAATAAATACAAACCTATAAAGAAAGAGAACAAAGTAGCAGTTTATCAATAAATGACTTAAATGGACAATGTGGCCAGAATGTTTAAATAATGGACTACGGGCTGGAAGAGCTAAAAAGCCAGCAAAAACTAACTTATTGGTCTACAAAAAGAAAAACATTTCAATATTGTTATTATAAACATGCAATGGAGAATGAAAGAAAGAAGTAAAATGTTAAATTTAAAAACAATTGACGTAATACTGAGATGATGTGAGACCACAGAAATTACTTAAAATAGATTGAAATCATTTGATTATATATGTGGAACACTTTGCAAAAACAAAAAAACAATTCTTGTCCATTTCCTCCTCTCATAACAGGATGTGTCAATTTTACAAGTGCCACTATGGGCCCAGGAGCCCAAGTTTGAACACATCCTTAGATGTACAGAAATACTGTAATAATTGTTCTGGATCCATACAGCTGATGTAAAGACAATGCAACATGATCAGTGTAACTGACATGACGACTTCAGATTATTACAGTGAGACATCTCTCAGAGTGGACACATTGATTCTGGGTGGAGCGAGACGAAAAAAAAAAAAAGATCGATACCAAACCTTTCTCGCATGCCAGCAGGAAGAGCTTGTCATCCAGCGTAGTCTCCTCCTTCACCTCCCTCACATCCTTCAAGGCCAGAAATTTATCCGGAGAGGAAGCGTCCGTGCCCTGGTACAGAGCTGCCATGATGACGGTCAGGGAGTAGGGACAGACACTGATGTGCATCCCACTGGGAACACTTGCACCTTGCGGTCCCTAAAACGGGACGACGAGGAATCTTTTATCCATCGCAGTGTCGCAGCAGAGTCATCGGAGTCGGTGCTGTTGTTGTGGTCTTATGGGCGCATCTGCTCCGCGTCTGCGCCGCGGTGCCAACTCGACTCTCTGCCGCCTCCGGGAATGACGCTGCTGCCGGAGGTGATGGGTTCAGTCTAATGATGGTTTATCCAACCGTGTTCACGCGCATCTCACTTCACCAACATCGCAGCATCCTGTGCACGGCTTTGGTCCTGATGCTGCTGACAGCTGCGCGCACCGCGCATGCTCCGCCTCGACGCAGGGACAAAGATGCAATGTTTTATGGTTATGTAACACAGAGGTGGCGTTATAACGATGTGCATAACAACATACACGGTTTAAAAACAGAAGATACTTAGACAGGAGGCATAAGTTATTGATTATAAGATCATCTTCATTCTTAACATTGTTTAAAAAACAGATATAAAACATAAAAAACATTCAAAATTAATTTTACCAATAAATTCTCAAATTGTTATAAAATCTGTCCATATTTTTATATTGTCACTGTTTTTTTTAAACACAGATCACCACATAATTAATCCACCTAAATAAAATGGCACTTTTTTCCCTTCTTTTTTACACTCGATGCCCTCACTGATAAAACACTACCCATTAATCCTGGTTGGACAAAACTTAATAACGACACGCTGGCTGTGCCCTTCAGCATTTTAAAAAAAATGCTGAAATTTATTGCAAAAACAGAGCATGTAGCCTGTGCTAGCATGTAGAATTATCGGTGCGTTAGAGCTGCTAGGTGGGGACTTTTATATTATAATTATTATTATTATTTGGTAAAGTTATTCAAAATTATTTTGCGAGTATTCCCACTTGAGTAAATATAAATATTTTACAAATATGTTATTGAGTAAAGCCTGATTTTGTTTACTAACTCCAAACAGTGTCCAGCAGAGGGCAGTGTAGTCAAAGGTTTTGTACTCTGAACGTCCGTTTTGGGTGTTCTACGACAACAGGAGCCAGATGTGAAAATAAATAAATTGAAACTCAAACATGTAAAAAACAGCAGTAAGTGTTTTATATTAGGATGATATGTTTCATTTAAGAGCAGATACTATTTTTAAAATGTTGCTGGTGTAACAGACTTACTTCAACAGCGACACAGTACGGTCGGTGTAACTGTCACTCTGTCTTTTGAGCAGCAGCTCCATTATGTGTAGAGCTGTAACCCAGACTGTTAGGAGACGAACGGTCTGCAGAGCATGTGGTGGTTCCTCCTCTTCAAACACACACATGGTCTCACCGAGTTTCAGGACACTTCTGGAGGAAGCAGCTGCCAAAATGTTAAACTTCATCTGGGTCTGTTTGAGGACAGTGTCAGACAGTGATGCTGTCCATCTCTACCACGTCCACACAAACCCTGTAATATATGACTTGTTTACAACATTAAAACGGGTGAGAAGAGAAGGATAAAAATAAAGATAGTTTTATGTCTTTTATGGCTGCTGAAAAGATAAATATTTATGAGATTTTCCTAAACTCCAGTGAATTAAACAAAATGCTAAAGCTAGCACACAAAATGTTCAAAGTGATTAATCCACCTAAATAAAATGGCACTTTTTCCCCTTCTTTTTTACACTCGATGCCCTCACTGATAAAACACTACCCATTAATCCTGGTTGGACAAAACTTAATAACGACACGCTGGCTGTGCCCTTCAGCATTTTAAAAAAAATGCTGAAATTTATTGCAAAAACAGAGCATGTAGCCAGCATTTTTTAAAAATGCTGACATTTATTGCAAAAACAGAGCATGTAGCCTGTGCTAGCATGTAGAATTATCGGTGCGTTAGAGCTGCTAGGTGGGGACTTTTATATTATAATTATTATTATTATTTGGTAAAGTTATTCAAAATTATTTTGCGAGTATTCCCACTTGAGTAAATATAAATATTTTACAAATATGTTATTGAGTAAAGCCTGATTTTGTTTACTAACTCCAAACAGTGTCCAGCAGAGGGCAGTGTAGTCAAAGGTTTTGTACTCTGAACGTCCGTTTTGGGTGTTCTACGACAACAGGAGCCAGATGTGAAAATAAATAAATTGAAACTCAAACATGTAAAAAACAGCAGTAAGTGTTTTATATTAGGATGATATGTTTCATTTAAGAGCAGATACTATTTTTAAAATGTTGCTGGTGTAACAGACTTACTTCAACAGCGACACAGTACGGTCGGTGTAACTGTCACTCTGTCTTTTGAGCAGCAGCTCCATTATGTGTAGAGCTGTAACCCAGACTGTTAGGAGACGAACGGTCTGCAGAGCATGTGGTGGTTCCTCCTCTTCAAACACACACATGGTCTCACCGAGTTTCAGGACACTTCTGGAGGAAGCAGCTGCCAAAATGTTAAACTTCATCTGGGTCTGTTTGAGGACAGTGTCAGACAGTGATGCTGTCCATCTCTACCACGTCCACACAAACCCTGTAATATATGACTTGTTTACAACATTAAAACGGGTGAGAAGAGAAGGATAAAAATAAAGATAGTTTTATGTCTTTTATGGCTGCTGAAAAGATAAATATTTATGAGATTTTCCTAAACTCCAGTGAATTAAACAAAATGCTAAAGCTAGCACACAAAATGTTCAAAGTGTTTGCCTTTGGCGATAATTACAGGTCTTTCATTGGCTAAAAACGTACCAAAATATACTGCAACAGTTTTGACAAAAGTTTCTCTGTATGATACAGATTTAGACGGACCTTTCAAAATACTTTTCTTATTACTTGAAAAGGGTATCGTACCTGTTGACACAGAGCTGACACGGGGTTGGGCTACCCTCTTGAGGCGGCTGTAGGAAAACATACAGTCCGTTTAATTTGAAATATTGAAGTAATGTATTATTAATACAGAATGTGGTTGGCGAAATCAAAGACAACGATGTTTTTGAATAAAATAATAACTTAAAATAGATTTCAGACCAAACGAACCAATGGAAACAATAACTGTGGATAAACGAGGAATCAAAACTCTATAAAGGTACAGTCATCTAATATTTACGAAGAAAAAACAGTTTTATAACATGTCGTTTATGTAATAATAATGCTGCTGATTCTCCATTTAGACCTCTGTCATACATAACAACAGCATCATCTCCCACTATCTTCCATTGCTGTGATGTGTGAGCCAGCATCAGTGTGATTGACACGCGGCAGCTCCAATGGCGCCGGATGCTGACGCACCACGTAAACACCGGCGTCCAATCACATCCTCTGTGTGGGCGGGGTTTCCTTCCTCTGTGTTCTGATTGACTCCAGTTTGTATCACTCGGTGGAGCAGAGGCAGCAGGAAGAAAGGAGGGAATCTCACAAACGGACGGCGATAAAACGGTGCCTCCCGCTGCTTCTTTATGGCAGACGCGTAATGATCCGCTGCGTCAAAACCGCTGCGGCGGCGTCGACTGTGAAGCCCGCATTGAAACCGGATTGTATATCTGCTGAAGGATGCATGAGAGGGTGAGTAGGCAGGGATGCCTGGACAAACAAGGCGTCTGTTACAATGATGAAAGCGTCTCCGTTTTTGTTTTGAACAGCGCGGACCACCCACAGAATCCACTGCGACGTCTTGGACAACTTAAACCCCGCTCAGCCTCCATCCTGCCCGTGATGAACGCTTGCGCAATGCAGTAAAAAAAACATGCCGTTGTGGGATTAGAAATCAGTGGTAAATATATGCCCTGATCAGGCTGCGTTCAGATCCCTCACCCGTCTGCTCAGTGTATGGTAGATCCATCCATCTTCCAGACGGCTGCACAGTCTCTGTAGGGGAAACTTTGCCTGGTGGTTGGAGCTGCTCTCCAGAGCTACAGATGAGAGGAAAACAATACCATCCACCTCTTAAGTTGACAGCGCCGTGGGAGAAGGATGCTGGCTTTGGCAGGAAGCTCAAAACGTACAGGAATCATACCAAGATAATAGCACAGCCCGGGATCGTGATGAAAGTCCTGCGCAGGAAGAGGATCGTCTTGTTCATGGCCTATTTCTTGCTGCTGGTGCTCACCATGCTCAACTTGGCTAACTACAAATGGACCAAAGAGCCACAGCAGTGCAACCATCAGCTGAGGAGCACCACCTATCAGAGCAGGTCTGACATCCGCTTCCTCTACAGGCCCTCTCTGGCCAAGAAGAGACAGCTCATCTACGTCCTGACCACCTGGAGGTCGGGCTCCTCATTTTTCGGGGAGCTTTTCAACCAGAACCCTGATGTGTTCTTCTTGTACGAGCCCATGTGGCACATCTGGCAGAAACTGTACCCAGGTGATGCGGTGTCCTTACAGGGAGCAGCCAGGGACATGCTCAGCTCCTTGTACCGCTGTGATTTATCAGTTTTCCAACTTTACAACAGCCCCGGGGGCAAGAATTTTACCTCACTGGGACTATTTGGAGCTACGCTCAACAAAGTTGTGTGCTCATATCCTCTCTGCTCGGCCTACAGGAAGGACATGGTGGGCATGGTGGATGACAAGGTGTGTAAAAAGTGTCCTCCTCAGAGCCTGCGACTGTTGGAGGAGGAGTGCCTCAAGTACAGCACCATCGTCATCAAAGGGGTTCGCATTTTGGATGTTAACGTCTTGGCGCCCCTCATGGAGGATCCGTCTTTGGATTTGAAGGTGATACACTTAGTCAGAGACCCGCGGGCCGTAGCTAACTCCAGAATCAAGTCCAGACACGGTCTGATAAGGGAGAACCTTCAGGTGGTCCGCAGCCGGGACCCCAAACTTCGCCGCATCCCTTTTGTAGATCCGGGCCACAAAGCCAACAAGAAGGACGGCTCGGACTATCACTCCATAGGAGCCATGGAGGTGATCTGTGACCGCACCTCCAGGACTTTGAGGACTGCCTTGAACCCACCCAGCTGGCTGAAGGGGAAGTACATGGCCGTGCGTTACGAGGACCTGGTGGAGAACCCAGTTAAGATCTTACGAAACATCTACCAGTTTGCCAACCTCACCCACAACCACGACATTGAGTCCTTCGCGCTGAACATGACCAGCGGCTCCAGCTCCTCCTCAAAGCCATTCATTGTCTCGTCCGGGAATGCCACACAAGCTGCTAGCGCGTGGAGGACAGTGCTCAGCATTCAGCAGATCAAACAAGTGGAGGACTACTGTCACCACTCCATGTCCGTACTGGGCTACGAGCGGGTCAGAACAGCCGGTGAGGCCAAAGACCTGAGTAAATCACTGCTGGTTCACTCCAAACTGTGAGGCAGCGGCGCCACCAAAGACCTGTTTTATTTAATGTTTGTTTCTGCATCCGGTGCCGTTTCTCTCACCTCTGATTGTGGGATTTAAGCTTTACTTTTGATTCAGTGTGTGAGGAGCTACACTGGCTAACACAAGGAATGTATCATGTTTCTCTCAGTTGACCTGCAGGGTTTACTTTTACTATTTTTACAGGATGGATGTGGATCTGGTCTGTATGAGGTACATTAGAACACGATTTATAAACTGTGAAGCTGCAACAATGAAAAACAGACAAACAAACAGACAAACCATGTACCTTGTCCCTGTATCTTGTAATTCACAAGTGGATGTTTCTGGGGCTTATTTTATGAATGTTCTTTTTCCAGTCTCCATACTGTCTGTCCCAGTGAAAAAACAGTGGATGAAAGAGAGCAGCCAAGCAAGCAAACAAACAACAAAGAAACAAAGAAAAGTCACTGTCGATGTTCATTTTTTAAATCCGGGTGAAGTCACAGACAATCAATAAATTGGTTTGTTAATGTGCCATATATGGTAGTGTGATGATTAGGCTTTTATCAGAACAGGATACATGTGGCGTGTAGACTTGAAGACAACAATGGATGTTTTTGATTTTTATTTTGTCATCAAATTCTTGTGGGATAAAATCATGCACTGTGGCTCTGGAGCTGCATCTCTCTCTCTCTCTCTCTCTCTCTCTCTCTCAGTTACCAGTGTGTAACATCATCTGTTCTGCCATTCCTAATGTTTACAATTGCTTGCTCTTGTGGGAAAAAAAGAACTAAATGATCTGAGAACACTGCATTGAGTAAAGATCACAGTGAACAACACAGACAATGCATTTGTGTCTGAGAAACAAAAGAATCTGCACGGCAACCAAACATCACAAGGTGAGGCCTCCTCAGAAAACTGCCATTCTAACTGGTGTGATGAATTCATTCTGTTGACACCCTCGGTTTGACGCAAATGAGTTTGAGACAAACAAAGGTTGTGTCCCTTATGTCACATGATAAATGTTATGGTCACATGGCCTCATCCACCAGTGGAAGGGTGCTGTGAGGTCAAACTTTACAGAAACAAACAAAATGTTTTTTACAACCGACACTGACCTTTTTGTAGGTGTAACAGACGGTACATTTCACAGGTAGTTTGTTTTTGATTTGGTGAAATCCGATCCTTTTTGTAAGGAAATGGACGGTGATGCATGACAGGAGACAGAATTTGACTGTCATTCGAGTGTTGCCTACAACTAGACAGTCTGGCTGTTTGTCTCATTTTTACACCCATATGTGCCGTCTCTTGTCTTTCATTATCATCTGATTTTTATTTTAAAGGGGGTCATGTTTTACAAAATTGACATGTTTTATTTAAAAAAAGACTTTAATAAATGAGGTCATAAACCTCATTATGATGAATATTTTAGTTGATGCCTCTTTATTTTAAATCACTTAGGTAGCAGGGTGCAAAGTGTTCAAAGACGGGGAAAAGTTTTACTGGGGACTTTTTTAAATGTTTATTTATGGCGCTGCAAAAAGTTTGACAAGTCATTTTATGAGGAAGTTTATAAGTTTTTATTATTTTCTAGGCAATTTAATCCAATATTGCTCGAATTCTTTGCAAGTTTCTGTTCAATTGAAAGCTAATATTTAACCAGTTTAAATACTTTCTTACAATTTTCAGCTGTTTTTAGGCTCACTCTAAACACCTATAGTTGTTTATATAGGTGTTTAGCCTTGGATATTTTTATGTGGAAAACCTGGCCATTGTATTTAGTAAAAGTGTTTTTAACTTGTTGACTTTTAGAATAGAGTTAAGTCTGTAAGAATTATATAAATGACTGCCTCTGCATCAACGTTCACTGAAGTTGATCAACATCAAACATGAAGATCAGAAATGATCGAGTTGCCAGGAAGCACTGACTGAACTGAGAGTTTCACTGTGGTGCCATTAAATGTCATGAGGATGAGGACTGGTAGTTAAAGACTGGTAATCTCACCCAGTCACATTTACGCAACCACACTACAGGACACAGTGTCTTTGTTTTGACAACCAAAAAGAGAAGCATCCCATAGAGGCAGCGATACATTCACAGCATGGAGTGGGAAACACTGACCTTTGGTGTCAGTGGATTTAAATATGAGGCAGAGCCAGTTTGAATATCGACAAAGGCGATCATTCACATATCTGATCTAGTACACAAACACCCCCCACTAGGGAAATGAGGGGTTGGTGAGAATTATTGTCATGCAATGAGAAAGTGTGATGTTTAATTAAAGAAGTCGGTGAGAGAGAAAAACTCTTCACATGCTAATAGTCACTTCCCCAAGATGCTGTTAATACACTTAAGCATTTGGAGGCATTCATGTTCAACGTGGAGAGAGGAGCAGGCTGGGAGTAATAAATTCAACAGAATACATTTGAAGTGGTGAAAAAAAAGGGGGGCGGGGAGGGGTGGCTGCAGCAGAAAACAGAGCAATAAAAGTTTAATAAGGAGTCGGGGAGAGAGCGCAGCAAAGCTGGCACAAAAATATAATTTCAGCAGATTATGGAGAAAATACAGCAGCGCTGAAGTTTTACTAGATGTTCATCAGCACTTTTCCCTGCAGCTTTTCAAGTATTGTGTTAATACCAGCAGGACAGAGGCGGTCAGGACTGTGGTGCGTTCTTCAACAGAGTTATTATTAATTTAATTTGCATACGGTGTGCAGTAGAGTTCAGATACATGCTATAACTTACACTAACACAGTTACATGTTGTTTTGGTCCAACGTCTGGCTCGGGGGTTGGTTTTGACATTTAAGTTTTGTGGGGGTTTTTTTTAGTTAGTCTTTGTCGTTTTGTTATTTGATCATTTTATCTATTTTTGCCCCAAACATAAATATATATTTTTTATCATTTGCCAGGGTTTTATTTATTACAACATTTTATAACATTTTCTTATCAGCATGGCTTTAACTGTGATTATAACAGTTTCTTATCAGCATGGCTTTAACTGTGATAAATATCAAGGATGTGCAAAAAGCACAAAGGGCCGCTGTGGCTGCAGGTTCATTCCTTGTGTAATCAGATTGTTATTATGTTCAAGCAGACCAGGGCACAAAGGGCCGCTGTGCCTGCAGGTTTTTCTTCCAACCAATCCAGAACACACTGACTGACCAATCAACTGTCTGAAGACTGATAGCAGTTGATTCATTAAGCCAAGTCAGGTTGGCTGACTCTGCTGCTGCTTGGTTGGAACAAAAACCTGCAGAGGCCCTCTGTGGACCTAATTGCCCACACCTGTGTTAAAGTAAACGGAAGCGATTTTATTTTTTTACCTAAAGCTTTTGTCAATACCCCTTGATTATAGGTTTATAATCACAGGGAGGCCAGTTGGACCTGTGATCATTTTAATTTATTGAATCTAAATGTCGTGCGAAATAGATAAGAGAGCGAAGAGCAGATTATCTTTATCAGTGATTTACTCTCCGTGTGGAATCGTTTCGGTTTGGACATCTTCCCTGAAGACGTTCTGACCAGGGACTTGCTTCATCATGTGATGGAGATTATTGATCTAATGGCAGCAGAAGGTCCTCAGCTCCTCAGCTCCTCTTTGAGGCTACGCCTGAAATTACAGGCCACTGCGGTGAGAGTTGAAGGATCACAGAAGAACCGCTGTTCAAAAGCAAGTAACAATAACGACCCCGGTTTCTTTTACATCTGTAGCAGCACAAGGTAAGTATTACTATTAGGAGCGCGGTGACGACTGTTGTGCTTTATTACAGGCCTGCGATTCCTGTGACCTTGTTAAAGGCTGGTGGAAAATAGATTAAGTTTCACTGATACTGAACAAGAGAAGGAGAAAAAGCTCGTTTCCCCCCTTTTCTTTCTCTCATCTTTTATACAAATGTAGCCTCAGGATACAACAAATCATGTTAGCAGCACCAAAGGACGCCTCACAGGGGGACAAGATGAGATTATGTGTGAGTAAAGGCCACTGTTTATGAAGGTTTTTAACAGTAACCTCACTGTATCTACAGCTCACTGTGGATGAGACCAAAGCTTTGACAAGACACAGGGTATAATTTAACAGTGAAATAAATAAAATAGGCCTCCTCCTCCTCTTCCTCTACCCCCCCCGTCTTCCCCCAACAGTCTCATTGTCATTAAAAGCCAATTACTTTTATTCTCACCGCAGCACACTGCACCCAGCAGGACGTTACTCATTCAACTTTATTGGTGCTATTTTTTGTTGCCTTTTGCCGAGCAGTTGGCGTGTTTAATATACACTACATATAGCAGTGTGATGGGGAGGTGACTGAAGCCATTAAACCATGCATGTCATAAAGACACACGCTTCAGGAGGGAATACACATTAAATCACGTGTTGTCTGGTCTGAGGCAGATATTTATAATTAGGAATTGAAGGAGAAATAATCTATCTATCTATCCATCTATCTATCTATCTATCTATCTATCTAATATTAATTAATTAAATTTGCTGCATAAATCTTAAGATTTGAAATGTCCTTAGCACAAACAAATACTATTTCCTTTCATATATGTATGCAGTAAATCAATATATTTACAACACAAATACACCGTCTGCTTCCACAGTGAAGCTCTCAGCCTCCTGAGTTCACTGTTGACACATGCTGTTGTATCAACACGGACCTATGGCTGACAAGCACAAACACCAAGGGGAGGGAAAGTGATCTAATGTATTATCTGGCACAAACATTTATATATTCCTCTGCTGGAGTCAGCGATATGTGAGAGGTGGGAATAATAGACAATGTTGTCCCATCTACTGGCACTTATTTAGAAATGTTTGAAGAGAGAGAGAGAGAGAGAGAGGGAGAGAGAGAGAGAGGAGTGGACGAGGATGGAGGTGAATAATGTGGTGAGGAGTGTCTTTGTTTTCTCGTCGGCACCTTATCCTTCTATTGCAGGATGGTATAATATGAGACAGTGATGGTAATTATAAGTTCTGGGGCTGTTGTGCGGTGCACAGTGGTGTCAGCTTGTGTGTGTGTGTTGGGGGGCAGGGGGGGTATTGGAAAAAAGGTGCTGAGTCGCAGTGTGGGGGTAGAAACTCAGCTGCTGCTTCAGCTTCCATCACAGTCTGTATAATTTCCTCCCTTCATGTCCAGCGTCACCCTCCCCTCAGCCCTCAGCCTGCACCGTACCTCAGCAGGGCTTCAGCTGTGTGTGAGAGTGACCCACATTAAAACTGTAGACTGTTCCTTTAAAAAATAACCTCTAGCTTTTTCAGTGTTTAACACATTTTTCCCATTTCTTTCTGACAATTTTAAAAAGGCTAATTTTCAGCTGTTTTTATTTTTTTCTGTGCATCATTGAACTGTTTATTAGCCACCTCACAAATCTGACACCACAACAGAGGGAATATTCAGCAGTAATCTGCGTGAATAGACTGTGTTTTATCACCACACATCCAATACAGTGGGGCTTCAAGATACCAGTTCAATCCGTTCCACAACAGCACTGGTCTGTCGATCCGCTCTTATCTCGATTGCATTTTTCCCCCATTAAAAATAATTAAAAAATAATTAATTCATTCCAGCCTCCCAGAAATATACTATTAAAACATAGATATAAACAAATATATTGATAATATAAAATAATAATAATTATAAAAATGGGTAAAATAACCCAGCAAGGGACGGAGGGCGAGACAACGAGACAGTGTCGAGTGGAAAAATGGAGCTCTGTTAAGCACTCGTAACTCCATGTTTCTTCATGAGGAAAATCATAACTTGGAAAACTAACTGTATTTCAGGGAGCTCCGATCTCGAAGCCCAACACTGTATGTTGGTATGTGATATAAGGTTTTATTCATATGTGAGATTCAAAGTCTGCAGCTGTAACGTTCTAGAGTGATGACCTCATGATGCAGTCATGCCTGTGTCCTCACCACGGGTGGCCTGAAGGATGCCTGAGTTAAAAACAACAACAGTCTCCAGGCCTACAGCCACTGAGGACAAACCACCTGATCAGGACACATCAAACAGCCTTTCATGTCCTTTCAACTTACAGCTTAATAGTAAAATGCAGGTTCATAATGAGGCTAAAGACCAAGCTGGCAGGGAGATGGTTAAAGGAAGCAGCAGCAGCAGCAGCAGCCGCAGCAGCAGCAGCAGCAGCAGCAGCAGAAGCAGCAGAAGCAGCAGCAGCAGCAGCAGTAGCAGCAGCAGCAGCAGCAGCAGTAGTCTGCCTCACAAAGTCAGGCTCAATTATGGAGCAGCAGGGTCCGGACCAGGACTCCTCTCACCAGGTCCACATCAAAGCCTCGCTGTAATATGCTTTTTCCCTTCTTCTCCTCCTTCAGTAGAAAACACGAGCCTGGACTGAGCCTTTCATCCTGCTCACATTTTCTCTCATCCACACACACACACACACACACACACACA